TGGGATTATAGGTGTTCGGCACCATGCCTGATTTATGCAATCTTTTCATCTGTCATGGTAACTGGCTCCTTCTCTTATTTGGCTATTCGATGTGTAGAATGGCTACAAAGGAGTAAATGTTTCATTAGGAATTTTTTTGCATAGCTTAGGTTACAGTGTTATGATCAAAATAATCCCCAATGTATCAATCACTTGTGCTATAACCCAAAGCTGTGGCACATGCCTGTGATCCTGGCCCTCAGGAGGCTGAGGCAGGATGATCACTGACAGTTCCTTCAACAGATCCTTTGTAAGGAGCCTCAGTTACAAGTGATCCCACTTAGACAGGGGGATCGCTTCAAGTTCTAGGCCAAGATGAACTGCACAATGAGACCCTATCTCCAAAATAAAGAAAGAAAGCTGAAATCTCATGCAGAGAACTACCTTTTTTTCTAGGCATTCTGCAAATTTCAGCTGCTTCAGTAGTTTCTTCTGTTTGTTGCTGAACCGATTATCCTGTTCTGCACTTGTTCCCTGAAGGAAGAGAAATACAATATCATAAACACCCAAAGTTAAATTCTTACCTTTTAGAAGCTAGTGACCTTTATAGTCAAAATGAGCTAAAGTATTTTAGTAAATGGTTAACGCCATAACTAATGTACATAGAAACACCATAACTAACCACCATAGATGCAAAATATATACCCTTCCCCCAGTGCAGCTGAAATTTTTTAAAAATTTAGTATTTTAGGGGCCGGGGAGATGGCTCTGTAGAGTAAGTGCTTCCCTGGCAAGTGCAAGGGCCTGAGTTCAATCCCCGGTTCCGCAAAAAAAAAAAAAAAAAATTAGTATTTTAAAATGACAAAATACATACTCATCACAAGTCAAACACAATATACCTATATGCTGCCTGAAATACCTTCACTTCACCATAACTAACATTAAGTTTGATTTGTAGCCTTTCACACCTTTTCTGTACTCATAGAAAAGTTTTTTTCAAGGGCTGGGGAGATAGCTCAGTGGTCTAGGTGCCTGCCTGGAAAGAAAGAAAAAAAATTTTTTTTTCAGTTTAAGCAGGAACATACTGAAATATCTAAAGTTTCATTTTCTTCTGAAAGTCAATAGTGAACTTTAGATTTATTGTGGCAATATATATATATATTAGAGCAAAAAGTAAAAAATACCCCAGGACCATGTTATTAATTTTCTACAACTTTAAAAGAATTTGAAATGCATGAGAAATACAGGCTTGCCTTACTGAACTCAATTTCAATGAAGCTCTTAGAAAAATAAAAGCTTAAAAATACAGTAATACTCACTTCAGGAGCACATATACTAGAAAACCCCAAAAACTACATCAGACCTTCAACTCATGACTAACCTGTTTTTCCATTCCCACTGACCCTATTAAGCACAGCAATAAGTAACTGTGTGATCTGAAATCTGACTGGTTCACTAAGTTGGCCAAAGTTCTTTGGAAGTGACCAAGAAAATTTGGTTTAGAAAGGTACAGAACCTCGGTAAGAACCTCCACTCTACAATTCAGCCTTAGGTTTTTCAGAGCAAGTTATCTAACCTTTCAAAAGGTGTTTCTTGTTAAAATAAGCAATAAAAAAAGGAAACAAAAAGATAAAATAGGGGCAATGAAATAAATGATTGTGACACAAGGCAATTACACTGATCTGATTATTACTTTGTATACACATGCTAAAATGTCACACTGTACCCCACAAATATGTACAAATTACTATGTCTCTTAAAAATTAAAATAGAGGGCTGGGGAGGTGACTCAGTGGAATAAGTGCTTCCTGGGCAAACACAAGGGCCTGAGTTCAATGCCCAGTTCCGCCGAAAAAAAATTAAAATAGAAAAAAAATTAAAATAGGATGCCTACCCTGCAGGACTGCCTACATCAGAAATGAAATGTCAAGGGCCAGGGAGATGGCTCAGTGGAATAAGTGCTTCCCTGGCAAGCGCAAGGGCCTGAGTTCAATCCCTGGTTCCGCCACAAAAAAAAAAAAAAAAAAGAAATGAAATGTCAAACACTTGAAATGTGGCAGTGGTCCAGAAAATGGGTTTTTTTTTTTTTGGTTTTTGTTTTTATAGTCTCACTATGTAACGTAGTCCAGGATGTGTTTGAATTCAGTACGTATGCAGTGATCCTCCCACCTCAGCTTCCCAGGTGCTAGAACTATAGGCATTTGCCACCACATCAGGCTACAAAATTTCATTTCTAATCTGAAATATTGTAATTTGATCTGCAATATACTAAATAACAGCTCTGGCTGGGTGTGGTGGCATGAGTCTGTTATCCCAGCACTCGGAGCCTGAGGCAGGAGGATTATTGCAAGTTTGAGTCCAGCCTGGGCTACAAAGTAAGCTCAAGGCCAGCCTGAACTTGACCCTATCTCAGAAAGACCAAAAAACAAAAGCAAAGCAAAACAAAAACAAACAAAACCCCTGAAGTCTAAAATCCCAAAACAATTCAACAGCTCAGAAATCTTTTAACTAGGAGAATGTAATCCAGTTAATTCCTTTCTTATAAAAGCATAGGCAGTCACATAGTGAGTTCAAGGCCAGTCTGGAATAGATATTGAGATCCTCTCTCAAAAACCAAAATATATAAACAAACACAAGCAATATACAAAGAAACTTCAAAAAGCAAGCTTCATTTTAAAATTTCCTTATCAACTGGATCTCCTGTCCACTGGGAAGTTAACCAAAAAAAAAAAAATTTCAAAAGAATTTTTACTTAATAAGACATTACTAGGGCCAGCGAGAGAGCTCAGTGGTCTAAAGCTTCTGCTTAGGCAGGCGCAGGGGACCATGGTTCGATCCTAGCACCACATGCCACACTGCCCAGCAGGTTAAAAAAAAAAGGGGGGGTGGGGGGCCAGGGAGATGGCTCAGTGGAATAAGCGCTTCCCTGGCAAGTGCAAGGGCCTGAGTTCAATCCCCGGTTGGGGGGGGGGGGCACGACATTACTTTTGCACTACAAAAGAAAAATGAGTATCTACCAATACTTCCACACAAATTACAAAAAAAACAGTTCCAGCAGCATTGTGAAAATATATGTTCATTTGAAATTATTACTGTGTAAATAACAATCTTAGTCTTTGCAGGACCTAAGAATAGTCAAATAATTTAAGTTCTATAGGTGAAAACCTTGGAATAACATCACAACTTCTGATGGGAAACTACAGACATTTAAAGCCATTTGGGGCCAGGGAGAGAGCTCAGTGGCATAAGTGCCTGCCTCAAAAGCAAGGTCCTGAGTTTGCTCCCCCATCGCAAAAAAAGTCATTTAAAGAACTTAACTGCCACAAGGGGGCCACGCCTGTAGAGCCAGCACTTGGAAGGCCGAGGCAGGAGAATCACAGAGCTTGAGCAGTCTGAGCTATATAGTGAATTGAAGACCAGTATGAACTACGTGGTGAGACCCTGACTCAAAAACCTAATAGTCACCAGGTGTGGTAGCCCACGCCCATAATCCTAGCACGCGGGAGAGTGAGGCGGGAGGATCACTGAGAGTTTGAGGCCACCCTGTAGTATATAACGAGTTCTTGCCGCAAACAAAAAACAGAAAACTCCAAAAATACAAACGAGCAGATTTTCCAGGGAGTGGTAAGGTCCACCTATATTACACGAAGTGGAGATTTTGGTTAGTCCAAGTGGCCTCTGGATGGTTCTAGTTTGCCTTAAAAGCATTTAAAAACTCTGATACGATCATTTGTATTAAAGTTTAGTTCTCTAAGTGTTCCTTCCCGCTCATCTAAATCTTGACCTGGAGCTAATTTCCAACTGCGATGAGATACAGGTTTCCAGTAACAGCGTGGTAAATAAAATCTGGACCCCTAGGGCCAACGATGCAAGGTACCTTCCCCAGCTGCAGAGCCCAGGGAAGAGTAACCTTTTCGCCAGTGGACTTCAAGAGAACAAGATGGGGCGGGGGGTGGGGGGGAGCGAGGCTGTAACGAAGGGCGGGAAAGAGCTGGTTCAGCCCATAACCTGCCCCCACACACGCATTTACTTGCCGTTGCACCCCCTGCCCTCAGCCTCCCATGCAAACGCTTTCGACGCGATTAATCAGAGCGCAGATAGTAAATCGAGCGGGAGCTCTCGCGAACTCTGACCCTGCGCCTTTCGCTAAGTCGCAAGACCAGGAGGAAGGACGTGGGAGGGGGCGTCCGCCTTCTCGGGAGGAGCTGCTAAAAATCCCTCGCCCGGTGCCCCTCGCCTAAAGGCGCTCCCGCCAGGACGTACCCCCAAACGCTACTCCCTCGCCCGCCCGCCCGCCGCCAGTCACCTCGGGCTTCCCTCCGTCCTCCCCCAACGCACTTCCTCCTACAGGCTCGACTAGGCCCAGGACCCCGCGGAAAGCGCAGCACTCGACCTACAGGCCGGGCCAGGCGGGCAGCGAGGTAATGCTCCGGCCCATTCCCGCCGCCATTTTCCGGCCACCACCGCCGCGTAGGGGGGACGATCCCGGAGAAGGAGACTGCGCAGGGGCGCACCGGTCTCCTCCGCAGCGGAGGGGAGAGCGTCGCCGGCCTCGGGGATTCTTTAAAGACCGCCGAGGTCTCCCCTGTCGGGCCACCCTGTCCCGAGTTTAGGTTTCTTACCTGGCTTTACCGAGAAGCCCCTCACCTTACCCTAGAGCCCCGCGCTTGTACTTACGCGGAAGAATCCCGCGTCCATCTTGCTGCCTCGCTCGGAGATCGCTCCCTATCCCAGGGTACACCGCGCCGCCGCGACGGAGGGCGGGACCGGCGGGGGGCAGCGGAGCGCCGGGACGCAGCGTGCGCCGCTATACCCACCCCTCGCGGCCAACAGGAAGCTACGCCTGCTCAGTGCGCGCAAAGCTCGCCACGCGTGCGCACACCAGTCAAGGGGGCGGGCTTCTGCCAATCCAGAGCCTCCCCAGAAACCAATGGGGTAGTTAAGGCCGGTGATCTCCACCAATGGGAGCAGGAGAGAGCGTCGTGTGGTTCCCTCCCGCCCCCGCGAAGCTTTTTGTGGCGCGTGACCATCCCTGTGCGCGCGAAGTGTCATGACCCGTCTTTCGACCCGTAGTTGAGAAGGCCTCCTGCTTTTAGGGTTCCATCGAACGATGGAAGGGAAAAGCTGTTACTTCTGTGTGACGCTGGTGAGGTGGCCTGTGACTTAGCGAAAACCCTACAGCCTCTCTCTGCTCTCATTGTAAAAGCTGTGATTTTGTGTGTTTTATGAGTATTACCAGTTATCGGGATCCACTCCCAGGTAGTTGAGCTATGGGCGAAAGTGAAATTTGCATTCCAGCCCAGATCGCTCGGTTTTTGGAAGAAGCTGAAGTGTTGGTTAGATGAGCTTTCGTTAACTGCGTTGAAGGGCAGGAAGCGCCCGGGAGCTGTGGCTGCGGGCGGGGCTGGACCTCGCCCGCTCAGACTTGTTTTCTGGACTTCAGGCCTCCAAGGAAGCTGCCCAGTTGGCATTTCCACGTGAACGCCTGATAAGACATCACAGCTTGACGTGCCTGGACTCGGATCCTCAGGCTTCCCTCAGACCCCCCGCCTAGAACAAAGCAAAGCCAGGAGAAGATCTGCTCCTCCAACGTCTTCCCGTTGTAGTCAAAGGCAGCATCTTTTTTAGGACAGTATCCTAGGTGGTATTCTTGACTCCTGGAGCCAGGGAGATGGCTTAGTGCAATAAGCGCTTCCCTGGCAAGCGCAAGGGCCTCCTGAGTTCAATCCGCGGCTCTGCAAAAAAAAAAAAAAAAACAAAAAGGATTCTTGACTCCTTCCTTCACATCCACTTCCAAGCCACCAGGAAACCTACAGTGTCATCATGGTGCAAAGTATTGTCATCTCTTGCCTGGATTTGTGCACCTTTCCCCTGGCTGGGCTTCCTGCTTCTGCCCCGGCCACTCAGCATGTTGTTAATGTATTAGTCTGTGGATCCAAATCTTTTTTTCTTTTTCTTTTTTTTCTTTTATTTAGACAGGGTCTTGCTATGCAGCTCAGGATGGACTTGAGATCGCTTTGTAGCCCAGGCTGGTCTTCAATTCACAACGATCCTCCAGCCTCAGCCTCCCAAATGCTGAGTTACAGGCATAAGTCACCACGCCTGACCGGTCCAAATCTTTAGATGTTCTTCTGCTGAAAACTCCAGGGGCCCCTGCTTTTTCTCAGAGCAAATTCAAAGTCACCTGTTCTTTGACCTCCTGTAATATCCTTTCTGTTTGCCCAAGTTGCCTAAACTTGTTCCATTTTAAGGCCTTTCTTGTGCCCAGCGCATCTGGATGTCACTGTCTCTATTTTTCTCCTGTAGCATTTATTACCTGCAGATACTTGGTTAGCCTATTTTTAATGTTTGTTGTCTTTTTCCACACTAGACTGTAAGTTCTCTGAAGTCAGGGCTTGTGTTCTGTTTACTGATGTATCTTTAGGACCCAGAAGAATGGCACATAGTCCAGGCCCCAAAACTTATTGAATGAATGAAAGCTTTGTCAGGTGGTCAAAGAAAGGAGATTGAGTGGCCGCTACAGAACGAGCCCCATGACCAAATGGGGCTATAAAATAGAGCGTCACCACTCTGGCTCTTCTCTGGGGCTCTGATTAACTTTATTTCACTGTCCTTGTGTTTTGCTGCCAATCAGTGACTTTCCATTTGACTTGGTGTTGGCCCTTTTTCTCTTCCTTCACAAGAGTGACTTACCTACCTTATTTTGATTTCATTTCGTTTCTATCCCAAACCTATGTACTGCAGGCACAGGTCCACCCAGACCTATGCTTAAACTTTGTGTGTTGTATTTGCTTAGATGTCCTGTAGGAACCTCAGACTCAGTATATCGCAAACTGAATCCACTTTCATCCACCTCAACTTTTTGTTTCTCATTTTTTCTTTTTGGCGGAACTGGGGATTGAACTCAGGCCCTTGAGCTTTCCAGGGAAGCGCTTACTCTACTGAGCCATCTCTCCCGCCCTTGTTTCTCATTCTTAATGAACAGGGCAGCTTTTTTCCCTGTCTTTGTCTTTCTATATCCCAACCACCAAGACTTGCCTTTTTATTCTCTTTAACATGTAATAGCTTGTGAATCTAAATTGTTTCCCTGGCCCTCTTGCCTCTTTAATTTTGGCCTTTTGCATTGTTCTCTGGGTTTCTAAACTCTTGCTTCCTCTTCTTTTTGGGGTGGTAGGGTGGGGAGGGGAGAGTTCTGGATATTTGCAACAAACTTTATTTATTTATTTATTTAGTGGAACCGGGGATTGAACTGGCCCTTGCGCTTGCTAGGCAAGCACTTATTCTACTGAGCCATCTCCCTAGCCCCCATGCAACAAACTTTAATTATGTCCTGCTTTCAGGGTTGATGTCTCACCCTATATCCATATGTTCTTCTAAGCTACTTATCTTTTTTTTTTGGTACTGGGGATTGAACTCAGGACATTGCATTTATGCCACTGAGCTACATTCCCCTGCCCCCCCCCTTTTTTTATTTAGTACAGGGTCTCACTACACAGATCAGACTCGTGGTGATCCTTGTGTTTTCAGCCTCCCAAGCGCTGGGGTTTCAGGCACATGCTACCATGCTGCTGTCTCAGCATGCCCCCCATGGGGTGGGGGGGGATTACTGGCACAGCACGCCGGGGATCGAACCCTGGTCCCTGGGTCTGCCTAAGCAGGCGCTTTAGTCTGCTGAGCTATCTGGCTGGCCCTAATTATCTTTTTTTTTTTTTTGGCGGAACTGGGGATTGAACTCAGGCCTTTGCGCTTGCCAGGGAAGTGCTTATTCCACTGAGCCATCTTCCCAGCCCCCCTAATTATCTTTTTATAATTTTTATTTTGTCTTTTTGAAACAGGATCTCACTATGCAGTTCAGGTTGGTCTTGAATTCACTTTGTAATACAGGCTGCTCTTGACCTTGCAATGACCTTCCTTCCTCAGCCCTCTGAATGCTAGGATTACAGGCATGCACCATCACGCACCATCGTGCCAGGCTAAGATGTTGATACTTACTTCAGGCTGGCCTTGAACTATGTAGCCCAATGTGCCCTGGAATTCTATTATTTTATTTTATTTTATTTTTTTGCCCTGGAATTCTGTTGATCTTCCTGCCTCGGCTTCCGAGTGCTGGGATTACAGATGCACACTGCCTAACCTGCACAGATAATAGTTTTGAACCTGTCACTTTTCCATTTAAAGCTTTTCAGTGACTTCCCATCTATTGTCCTCCAGATAATACCAAACTAGGTCACTAGTTATTGTGACCTACGGAGCTCTTTCTAATTTGATTGCGTTTCCCTTGCCAAGTTTAATTCGGGAGCCTGCAGCCATATGGAACCATGGAAACTTACACAGGTTAGATTTGGAATGGCAGTTTCTTGGTTTACATATTTGTAAACCTACAGTGACTAAGAGATAATTCATAAATAGCTGGTTTTACTGACCAGTGTAGGAGTCACTTCCAGGTCCTTGTCTCAACCCAAGAAACCAATATTCATAATCCCAAAGTGACATTATTGGAATCCCATCAAGTTGATGCCAATCTACTTCTTTCAATGCAACCCACAGCGAAAATAAAGACACTAAATTATATTTTCAATCATCGGGGAGTCGAGGGGCCCTAAGTCCAGCCATGAAGATGGCTTTCTGGAACCAAGAGAGCGACCCAGGGCCTCACCCAGTTTTTATTCAGTGGGGGAGTGGCTTGAGGAGGATTGACTGAGAATTGTGGGAAGTAGTGATCATTGTGAGCTGAGCTAGGAGGGTGGCCTGCATTTACCTAAGGCCAACTGATAAACAGAAGTCCTAGCCACCGGCTCTGTACGTAGGAAATAGGGTCAGGCTCAGTCAAAATGGAGACAGTCGCTCTTCTTTCAAGGAGAGCTGCTCAGGTGGTCCTCCACAACCAGCTTTCCAAAAATTAGCAGATAGTGGGCCATGGTGGTGCCTGGCTATAATCCCAGCCCTCAGGAAGCTGAGGCACGAGCATCGCTGTGAGTTGGAAACCAGTGTGGGCTACATTCAAGGCCCTCAAAAAGACAAAAACAAAAACTAAATTGGGGCGATAGTTTGGTGGTCTAAGTGCCTTCCTGGCAAGTGTAAGGACCTGAGTTTGATCCCCATACCACATGCCATTCTGGCCATGGAACCCCCAGGCGTATCGTGCCAGCCCCAAAACCATGCATGGTGGAATGGCACACACCTGTAATCCCAGCACTGGGGAGGTTCAACTAAATAGCTGAATTGCATAACAAGACCCTGAATCAAACTAAAACACACACACACACACACACACACTAGCAGATACTCTTTTTAAAAAATATGTGTGTGTGTGTGTGTGTGTGTGTGTGTCCAGCTCAGCCCACCAGGGGGTGGGGCTGGCTGGCATGTGGTGCTGGGGGAATTGAACCACGGTCCCTGTGCTTTGCTTAGCTTAGCTTAGCTTAGTTTAGTTTAGCTTGTTCTAAGTAGGTGCTTTAGACCACTGAGCCATCTCACCAGCCCAATAGCAGATACTCTTAATCTCTACTCTGTACCCTACTGTGCTTTATTTTTCTGCATAGCGAGTTAGATTGCCTAATGTTACTTGTTTGAGTTACGTGTTTATTGTCTCCTGTACCCTGTTTCTTTTTTTTTAGACAGGCTCTCACCATATAGTTTGGCCTGGACTTTATGTAGCCCAGGCGAGCCTGAGACTAGCAGTGATCCTCCTGCCTCTGCGTGCCAGGATCACAGGTGCGCACTACCCCTCCAACTATGAGGGTGAGGCTCTTGCCCAGCCATGGCATTGCTTAAATATTTGCTAAAATGTATGTG